TATCGAGGTCACCCCTCTTACCGCGTTGTTTTAGGCCTTGGATGTTGCGCGGGCTCCTGAATAACGATTTTGAATGAATTCTGTTCAACAGTGCGCGGTTTCCCTAGATACTTTTTCCAAAAATAGATGGAAAATTTACTCCCTTTGACTTTGTTCTAAAACCTCTGGCTTCATACATTCGTAATACGGCGGTTAACCGGTTGGCCGCAATCTGATCGTCATGCACGGTGAACAAACAAAATTCCACCCAGTTAACGATCACCAAAGTTTAAACTACGGCAATGATCTCACTAATTTTACCCGTCACAAAAACAAAATTATCATGTTCCTCCGTCCGTGATTAAATCTGAGACCACAAAAAAGGCGAATCCTACTTAGACAATTTTATTCGTATGCATGGATCATTTGTCTATCGCTTACAATTTGCGCAATTCCTTCGTTGTCGACCACAACCCGCTCTGAAAGGTTTTAGTAAGGAGGTGATAAAATTTTACGTTTTCTTCTGCAACGACCCAAAACCGATTTAGTTGTTCCCCTGGTGAAGTTTTCGTAGCATTGTGAAATAATTTCCCCATTTTTGGACCCCTCGCAGGAAAAGTGCTCAGGTTTTTAAAAAGCATCTGTTGTTTGATATCGCGCGATCGTGTTCTAGCAGAACGCTGATATCAGTCCACACTTTGAATAGATCGTACGCAATGGGAGAAGACCGTAAACGAATGAAATATTGGTGATTCTTTTAATTCCGCAAAGGTAAACGTCCGTTGTTTTAAGTACCCTCAATGATAAATTTGAAACGGGTCTCAAATGCCCTTCAGACAAAACATGTTTAAAACATGTATATATTTGCAACGCACTACTCATAAGTTTGCTGATAATCCGTCGGCAGCCCACGGCCGGCTTCGCCCTTTTTGGGGCTTATCAGGTAGGCGCAGTCCCTGAGTTTCCGTCAACCTTATGTTCTACTTGAAACCAAATTGTACGAAATTAGCGAATATATAGTCATTTACAAGCTAATTTGGTTTTTTCGAGAGGCTCACTTGGAACCCAGCTGAATCTCTCGTTTGTGATGTTTTCAGGCACACGTTTAAGTGCTGCACACGTACCACCATTAACTAAGATAACATGTGGTAAAATAAACAACCCTAAGTCCGTTATTACTTTACGAGCGCTGCAGCAGATCGAACCAACGACCGCTCCTCAGTGAATTCTGACAATTAGTGTGCAAAAAATATTATTCAAAAAAGTAAAAAATTACGTAAGATGTTGTAATTAGGAAGTTTACCCTAAACTCAGAGTTTTAAACCAACTTCTCTTCTATGATTGGGGCTTGCCTATAATTTTCATCCAACCGATCTCATCCAATCCCTCGGCAGCTGATTCTCATAGCGATTTCGCTGAGAACGTGGTTTCGCGCCCGCCAAGTTGGAAAGTACGAATCTTATTCTCAAGACAGTGAACAGTACGTTCAAAACAGAACCACGCTAAAAGAACCCCAGCCTGCGATGGAACCGGAGTATGATGAAATTTAGATCAGATACCACAACTTTTCTATTCGAATCGCTTTTTACGCAGTTGTCATCTATACAGCTATAGTTTTCCATGCTGTGTAAACCTCGTTTTCCCTGAAAGAAACTTCTGCCAAAAAATATGTTCTTCTGAGTTATCTACAAGAGGAATATAAACGGCAGCACCCCGGGCTTGCCTGTCAACATTTGGAAACCTGGTTGATTTCCATTAGAGGCGCACCACTTTGGGATTTACGGGAAAAAGCAGAATAGTTTGTACAGCATATCAATACAGAAGCCAATCCACGCTGAAAACACGAGAGGCGCTAAACAGCTGTTTTATCCCCGTTCAGAGTCGTCAGCAGTGAACGCTCCGCAAAACTCAGAGAGTTTCGAACCCGAGGAACACCGGCCACGGGTTGAACACTTAACCGTATGACTAAGAGCGGCTGATCAGCAGACTGGTTACCTCTCCCTGGGACAAGACAGACTGCCACACAATCTTCAACAGCGGAAACGCAGTTGCGTACCAACTGGCTTCTAAAGTCAAGAATTCTCAGAAGAATCACACATTCGGTATAATTACTCTTCTTCTAACGTGCTACCTATCTTCCGTTTTGCAAGACATCTCACAACTTCAAATGACGGCTCGACTACTTCTTTTGAGGCGTCACGTTTGTAACGAAAAGTAAAGCAGAGCTTCCATCAGAAGTGAAACTAACGATCATCTCACAATGAAATATATGAAATTTAATGCCATTTTGGTACCATTTTATCTAAAAAACCAGTCGTTTTTGCGGACGAATCTATACTCATAACAATGTCCTCTTGAAACAAGCGTTTTTCTGTCTAACGTACGATAGGGTTTTCAATTAGATCCAGAAGCACGCCCAAAAAAGAATTTCTTTACTCTCAACAAACAAAAAACTAAGCCACTATAGGGCACAGATCAATGAAGACCAGGTATTCGTATAAAATATCATAATGAAAGCATGCTGAGGTTCACTTGTAGTGGTCTGGCTACCCAATAAGTTAGATTACTGGGAGTGCGTGGCAAAGAAATAAAAATAATGACGCTAGATTGGGTATACAAAAGTAAAGAGGTCAGATAGAACAGACTCTAACAATTGTTCTCTTTAAGGTAGTTCGTCGTTGGCCCAGTTCAGCGAATAAACAATAATCCAATCATGTTGGTCTTCTGAACAGTTCCCACATATAATAGATTCCGAAGATGGCCTGAAATGTTTTGGTACCAGAGTTAGTACATGAGACTCGCGAATGACCGCTAGAAGCAGGAGCGAAATCAGAAGAGAGAGTCGAAGCACATGACCACGCTTGTATTCTGCTAAATTGTACAAGTGCGCGTTTTTTTGTAGTTTTTCGTATTCAAATAAAAAACGATTATGCAACTGATGAAATACGTGGTGTTATAATGGAAGTAAAATAAAGGTACAAAACGCCACTCACTCGACGCTCAGTATTCGCACAATGGAATCGAATTCTCGAAAGCTATGGCGTGTCCCTAATGGACTGAAGCTATCAAGCAAATGAATTCGGAGTACCAGTCCAAACTTTTGAGCCCCATTTAGGCATCCGAGGTTTCAGCGGTGTTGGGAAATTGTTCCACCGGACTTTTCCACCAGGGGTATGCTTGCTCCATCTGCCAGTGAAATTTGGTGGGCCGCAAAAATATGAACCTATATTAGGAAGGTTTCCTGTTCGAACACATACGCAACAAAATGCAGCATTTTGACGCAAAAGGTTTTGCTCCATTCCTAAAGGCTTTGCAGCTAAGAGTACAGTGCGGCTACTGAGCCCTGGTTTACCCCAACAGGCCAGAAACGTTGAAATGTATCCTCTAAGTTGCAAAGCGTTGGACCATTCAACTTGGCTGCAGCCCGTCGACCACTCAGCGCGCCAGATTATGGTATCTTGACATGTACATCTTTGTTAAAGTTCTAAGATCAGATGGAAATGATCACGCTTTCCACATAAACTAAACTAAGCCCTTCCTGAATTCACAAAGACTCAGTCAAATGCACTGGGATGGTTGTAGCTTCCATCGAAGAATTTGTGCAGCACCAAAAATGCAGTAATTAGGTATGCATTCCGCATGCCAAGTCATTACTTATCCTAAAAAATTCCGCCCAACCCAGTGTGACGCATTCCTGGCAGAGAAAGATATTTTTGGTGCGGCTTGTCTTCTAACATCGGATTCACGGAATACCCAGTGCTCATCACTGAAGATATGAGTGTATATGTCTAATGACTGATACCAGTAGATTTCTGGCAGCCATTTTCCGCCCACAAGATCTGAAAGGGTTCTTAAAGTTGTAAGCCCCGTGGGATGGTTTTGGTAGGCCAAAACCAGATCCCTTCCTCGTCCACTTTTATTTTTTTCTTTACAATAAATAGTTCGTTAACAATTGTACGGTAGCGAAACACCGACGCTAAACATGAATGCTGTAGTATCCATCACAATGCGGATGATGACTCGGACGAACTATCGAAGTTACCTAAATCATTTCGGCTTTACTGCACGTGTTAAGTGAGAACGGTTTTAAATCCTGATCACTCTTCCTGAAAGTGCGACGACAAACTTTCTCCATAATACAGATACCCGACAATATGCTCCTCCGTCCAACTCAAGAAAAAGCACTCCTGAATTGAACTTAAATAATCCCTAGGTAAAATGTTCCAAACAAATACGGTAATTTGCATATGCAGATGCATAGTATTCGAAAGGTCAAGTAAGCCCACTATTTCATAGGTTCAGTCACCTGGAGAAAACTTATTTCGAATTTTCCATGGATAAAATGAGAGATATTCTCCACAAGATTTCTCCAACAAACATTTTTTTATTCAACAACGAATTTTAAGTTTAATAAACTTATTTATTTTAACATCAGAATCGGCATCAATAGCTAGCCTATCTTGGGAGCATTCTAAGTTGTTTGGTAGGTTTCGTTTTTCCCTCGTGCAATTTCGTGAACGAATTTTTCCATTGTTCAATCTATTCACAGAGTACACACGAGTAATTGTTGAATTTTATTACTTTAACAAAACATTTGAGAGATATCCCTTGATATTTTGCGCACACTTCCTATTTTACATCTAATCCTAAACGTGACATCAATTTACACCGATTGCCCGCTGCAGCCATTGATGGATCAGAGCAGATGTGGACAAAGCGGCTGCCCGTCGAACGTCAAACGCGGTACGCAATGCCAAACATGCAAGTTCTGTTGGCACTTTAAATGCACGGGTTTACAGGACGAACAGATAAGCTGATTAGCAAACTCTCCTGACCCGTTTGTCTGCGCCAGCTGCCTCTACGTTAAGGGTGCAATACATACCGC